CTCCTGCCCTTAACAAATGCTAATTGATTTCTACTTATCACTTCAGGAAGTGCAATCTGAATCCTATTTGCTAATACCTTTGCAATTATTTTATATAGCACATTAATGCAAGCAATAGGTCTGAAGGCTGTCATTCTGTCAGCATTCAGTGTCTTTGGGGCAAGGGTAAGAGATGCAGTATTCATACCTCTAGGCAGAGTTCTTGTTCTGAAGAATTCCTTGACTCCCTTAGAGATGTCATTACCAATTAAACTCCAATGCTTCTGAAAAAAGCCTGTTGTCCACCCATCCGCGCCTGGAGCTTTCAATGGATCCATAGCAAACAACGCAACTCTAATTTCTTCATTAGATACCTCAGCACATAGCATAGATTTGCTACTATCACTAATCTGCTTTCTTATAAAAGAACCAATGACTGTCGGATCTGGGTTAACCTCTGTATTCACAATACCATACAACTGCTTGTAAAATCCCACTGCCTCTTCTTCAATTTCCTCCTCATATGTGATTTCAACCCCTGAGTTATTGATTAACCTCCTCAGTTGCTTGCGCGCCTGTCTTATCTTTACTGCCTGATGGAAAAACCCTGAATTCATATAACCCAGTGTAAGCCAATTAATACAAGATTCCTATCTATAGAAGCTTTCTTCTGCTCTTCTTAACCTTTGCAACTCCTCAGTGAGAATATGCATTCTTTCAAAAGTGCTTGCAGTAGGGTCTTCCAGGACTTGAGCCTGAGCTAGCCCCAAACTGGAACTAGCCTCCTTTACTTTGTCAGAAATATTCATAAATTCCCGTCTATTTAACTTCTTAAGCACAATCTTCAATAATTGGAATTTCCTTTTTATTCTCTTCAGGACTGGGCCATGTAGTTGCTGGTTCCATATTTCAGTAACTGTACTATCATACGAAGGGTCTGCATCCACATCTCAAAAAACCTAAAAGGTTTCAGGAAGGATTTCCTAGGTCTACTAGGTCTTACAAGCATCCCACAGTGGTCTTAGAAAGATGGCTTAATAAATTCAGCCACACTATCTGGGAAAACATCAAGCCAGTCTTCATTTACCAAAATTCTGTCTAGTTTCCTCGCAATTGGGTTCCCACTCTGCTGATTAGTCCAGGTAAAAAACGAGCCAGATGCTTGATGATCAATCAACTCCATCTCTGTGATCCAATCTCTAAACGCACTCATGCTTGGTGTAACAGGTACCATATTAGACGCCTCAAATGGGTTGATAATAGCGTAAAAATCACCACATACCACCCATGGAAAACCTCTGACTCTCCATTTTCTTAGTCTCGCATAGGTTGCTGATCGCTCAGCCTCATCATTTGATGCATATACCGCTGTGAAGAAGAACTGCACTTTAGGAGCAATTGACACTAATGCATGGATGAAATTTTCATCTGTGCAAAGAATATACCCTTTCACTTCCTTATCCCACGCTACCCACACTCTCCCCAGCAGATGATGATCATAATTGTCCTCTATCTGGTATCCACTAAACTTCTCTTTAATTTTCTCAGCCTTCCCCTTCTTTATTCGTGCTCAAGCAAAGCAAAAACCTTAATTCTACAACTACTAATTATATCAAGCACAACACTGTGCTTGTGAGGGGCATTAAACCCCCTCGTATTCCAAGTAAGAATCATGAGATGGAAGGAGCTTTAGCAGCTCCCTTCTGACTTCTTAGTCCCTCCCTCCAAAGGGGCGGGAACTGTAGTTGTACTTCCTTCTGAGCTAATACATCAAAAGGATTAGACTGACTCACTTCTGGCAGTGAGTTCCATACCTGTGGAGGCTTTACTCCATTATAACCTTGCTGAACTCTTCTTGCATTGGAAGGGAACTAGGAGTTATGGGGGGGGGGGGGTATTCACCACCATTTGCCCCTCCTGTTCCTCCTCTCTCCTTGTTTGCTGCTCAGCGACAACTATACTAAAATTCATCGGATCTGGAATCACAACAGCAGTCATCGCTTTCTTCCTCCACACTCTCTTTGTAGGACCACTTGGCTTAGCACAATCATGCCCAAACAGGCCACAAGCTGCACAACAAGGAGGCAGGCGACAATACTCTACTTTCACAAACATCTCATCCATATCATCTGGCTTAATACTCACTCTGTCGACCAGCTTGCTCTTAGCACTCAGTTCCACACAAATCTTAGCACAACCTACCTTTATCTTCCTTGTAGTTGGCTGGTCCATCCACAAAGGTTTCCCAATACCACTAGCAACTCTACCCAGTCCCTCCTTCGACGAGAGCTCCACAGGGAGTCCCGAAATCTAAACCCAGATAGGAATTGTCAAATTATCAATCTCCAGCGCTCGAATCCGCGAACCCAGCGACGCAAGCACAAAAGATTATTGCGATAGTGCCATGGACCTCCTTCGAAAACCCATTGACAAACCGCATCTGAAGGTAATTTGAACATAATCAGACGATCCTCTAGCCAAGATACACACACTTCACCTTCTCTACCCCATAACCAGTTCGCCCAGAACCTAATCGTCACCAGCGATGGCGGAGCACCCAGGAATTGCCCAACTAAACTATGTTCCCACTGACAAGCGCCCTCTTCCATCACCATCTTTGGAATTCGAATCGACCCATTTACCATTTCCGTCTCATAGAACTCCAGCTTTGAATCCTCAGAGACACCAAACAAAGAAGCCCACGATCGGCCGCCACCAACAGCGCCCGATGAGGCTCCATCAGCGACGACCGTCACCAGAGACGGGAACCCTAGCCCAAGTTTGAGAGAGAACCCGAGAGCATTTTTTTTTTGTACTTAAACTTGCAACTAGTAAACACTAGGGTTTTAATTCATCAAATTCTAACTATTACAATGAAAACAAGACGCTTAAATAGTCCTAGCTAGGGTTACACATCAATAAACTCCTAATTACATTCTACTACGAAAAGGAAACATAAACTACCTAAAACAATGAAATCCTAACTGCACAAGGAAAACTAATTCTGTTTTTACAAGGCATAATTTTGTGACTTTAGACGATTTTTGAGTCCGTCGTTCGAGGCCTTAAATATATCCATTCCTTCATCCAATGCCTTGTATTTGTAGATAAACATACATACTTTTATGTGGTAGAAGCCTCTGGACTCGAATCTCATCCATGCTTCTCGAATTGAGCTCCAAAGTAGGCTTCACGAACACATTTTCTGCCTTTGCCAAATTCTGGCAGTTTTCCTGTTTTGACTTAGGCTTTTGGTGAGTTGGGAAAATGACCTTCTAGACTTCCACTTCAGCTTCCAAGCATATCAATGTGTAGAGCGACACTCCAGATTCAATACAAGCTCTTAAAAATTGAATTTCCAATTGAGAGTAATAGGCTTGCAAAGTAGGCTACCTGAAACAGTTAAAATACTTGGACAAGAATTAGTGTTCTTCAGGCAGCTTGAGCTTGCTTCTTCGTCAAGTAATTCCAACTTGCAGAGTGATCTATTTGGGATCATATCAGCCGACCCCTCATCCTTTCATCCAACCAAGAGTTGCATATCAAAATACGCGGTATCTTCGTCTTCTCCCTGTCACCGGTGCAAGCTCCATCCAAGAGACATGACCCAACAACCTAGGGTGCCTAAACCTCTCTACCAGGCTCTGTTCCTGTCAAGCCCTTTGTCATTTCCCTGTTCCCGTCGAACCCCGTCGTCGTCCCGTCGGAGTTCTTTTCTTTGTGTTATTGTTTGTTTATTTCTCGTACATAGGTAGCCGAGCAGAGAAGCACATTCCTTCCCCACAGTTTGTTTATTTGACTATTTTTTAATTGTTATTGTGTGTTATTGTTTGTTTCTTTTTTGCAGCCGAAGCCCGAAGCAATACAACTTACTGAACTTACCTTACAGTGGAGCAAAAGGGAATTTTTTCCTTTTGTTACTTGAGAGTACAAAAACAAAGTAAAAAAATGTAAGATGGTGGTGTGGGAGGAATTTTACAATGCTATATAGTATTGGTGCTATAGGGTTTTGCTTATGGTATAATTTGAAAATGTACAGTTAATGCTATGGTACAACTTGAACTTGTACCTTTATGTGATGATACAACTTCAAGTTGTGAAGTAGTACCATAACATAATGTACAGTTAATGCTATGGTACAACTTGAACTTGTACCTTTATGTGATGATACAACTTGAAAATGTACAGTTAATGCTATGGTACAACTTGAACTTGTACCTTTATGTGATGATATAACTTCAAGTTGTGAAGTAGTACCATAACATAATGTATAGGGTTTTGGCTTATGGTACAATTTGAAAATGTTCAGTTAATGCTATGGTACAACTTGAACTTGTACCTTTATGTGATGATACAACTTCAAGTTGTGAAGTAGTACCATAACATAGTGTTTTCCAGGCGAGAAAACTTGCGTTGAATGAGAATTGAATGCACCTTGACTTCTTTGGACAATGATCACTAAACACGGTTCACACCTCTTCAAACACAGTTCGAACGAGGGTGTTCGATGTTTACACGACTCTCGAGACAGATCAACATTAAGTTACTCCTACTCCTATGGAGGTTCTGAGAGAGCTCCAGATCTACGACTACTGATTAAAATTGCAGAGGAAAGATAAAATTGATAAACTTGACAAGTGGTGTCGAGTGGTGATTTTTGCGAACCCTCCTCTGTCAACTCCTCCTCCTATTTATAGGCTTGAGATGATAACCGTCGTAGAAAACTGGCTTGGAGTAACTTCCAAAAAGAACTGCCCCCCTTCTTTCTCGGACGTGGCTGACGTGTCATTGTACGTGGGATAATCGGCAGTTGCTCTGTTAACCACCTGCTCTTCATCTTGGAACTTTCGTTTTGTTACTTGCCTCTCCCGTTCCTTCATCTGGCTTATGTTCTTCATGTAGCACTCAGACCGAATGACTCTGCCCACATGGCTTGCTTTCTTATTTCCAACTTGTTAGCTCAAATCTTGGACATAGTCTCACGATGTGGTATAGATCTCGCGACCACGTCGGGCTCTAAATTTGATGCCAACGTGGTCTAGATCTCATGACCACGTCGGGATCTAGACTTGACGCCAACACGGTCTAGATCTCACGACCACGTCGAGCGCTAAATTTGACGCCAACGCGGTCTATATCTCACGACCATGTCGGGCTCTAAATTTGATGCCAACGTTGTCTAGATATCACGACCACGTCGGGCTCTAAATTTGACGCCAACGCGGCCTAGATCTCACGACCACGTCGAGCTCTTCAACTCGCGACGAGACTATCTCCTTCTTGGATACTTAGTAGCTTGGGGCTTAAAACTATTATCATGAGGCCAAGTTCAAATAACATTAATTTTCATTAATGATCTGGCCTTATAAAGACAGTTAATGCCTTGCAAATAATCAATGTGGTACAAGATTATTTTTTGGGTGTAAACAAATGCCCTCCAACTACTTAGTGCATAAAAACTATGGACTAAGTAGTTGACACCAATTTGACAACCAAAACACCACATCAAAACCTCAAAGCTTCTTATTCCATTTTGGCTTTCACAAAAAATTACTCAAACCAAAATATACATTGTTTTTTTTTTCCCGTTACCACTCATAACCTATTTGCAAAGTGAGACTTTGATCTTCATGTCCAATTAACACAAGTCTCTATAGCTCCCCCCTTCTTTCCTTGCTCGGAAATAGAGTCATCACCACTGCCTTGCCTCCTCAAGCTTCATGCGGCAGCACAAGTACTTCCTCTCTCTTTTTCCTCGTCAGTCTCGTCCACGAATAACTCATGGCTACCCTTTTTTTTTCCGACCATGCTAGCCGCTGCCCGTTTCTTCACCTTGTCGATCTCGGCTGCAATACTGACCGAGAAGCCTCTCCCCTTTTTTATTTTTATTTATTTATCTTTCTATTTTTTTTTACGGGGATCCCATCTTCCTTACTTGAATTGGAGAAGGACTCAAGTGTCCTTGTCCTTATGGGATTCTTTTTTCCACCAAATCCTCTTCCAAAACAAAAAAAGATCCTCCAAATCTACTACCCATGAACTCTATAAATAGAGACCACTCCTTCTCATGCTTTTCATCTTCACTCACACAAATCCCCATAGAGTTCTCAAGAGTGGACGTGGTCTTCATCAAGCAAATCAAAGTGAGAGACCAATCTCACTCCACATCTAGTGGCCGGCGGCCACCTTTTTTTTCAAAAAAAAAAATTTCCCCCTTTTTTTAGACGTGACACTCGCCTTCCTCTGGTGTGACTTTGTAGGATGTCGAACAAAAAGGAAGAAGCTGGCCGAAAGATACTCGAGGAGGCTACTCGCGTCTATCAACAAGAGCATGATCTCCTCGCCCGAGACAAAGGAGTCTCTATGCACACCTTGGAGATTAACAACGACGATGTTGGTAGATTAGGTCCTTACCTGATCCAGGCACGAAGTGGTCCTGTAAGCCAACTTGATCGCTACCTGCTCGGTCAAGTGAGACTCATATCCCTCTGCACCGAAATTGAAGAGCCAAACTTTGCTCTCTTCAAGGCGGCCTTGTGTTTCTGGTCCACCGCTTCTAACTGCTTCGTCTTCCCAATTGGAACCATGACCATTACCATCATGGACGTCACTACTCTAGCCGGTCGTGGTTTCGAGTTAGCAACCACGTCTTGCCTCAAGCTCCCCCAGAAGATACCGCCCTTCCCACATATGTCTTTCCAAGCTTTTCACCAACAGTATCAGCCTTCGATGCCAAGTCCCCAGTGACACAAGAAGAGCGTGCAACATTCATTCACTTCTGGCTCTACAAGTTCATCATCTGCCCTAGCTCCGGTGCACCTCGTCAATCCTTGAGTGATCTTCCCAATAGACTTGTTGCGGGGTGATGTGATCGTGACTTTGCAGACTTCATACTAGCTCATATTTACCATGGTATGCATACACTCCACAACAAATCTCTATTGATGCACTACAACTGGTTCTGGCCCTTTATGGATTGTGCTCCTATGGATCTATGCATACTTCCCAGAGAGACGTAGTCATCTTGACAGTCTAGCAAAAATTGACCCGGATGAACTGTCAGATTCCTATGGCCACCACTTCATCACGACCAAATGATAGGGCAAAAGCGTAATGCCTAAATCCTATCTCCTAGTAAACCGGAAAGTCCGGGTATTGTCTCTCGGGGACTGGTACAACCTTAAGTTCTATCAATTTTATAGAGCAAACTATAGGTGAAAATGGTTTAATGAGACTAATTATCTAAAAGCAAAATAAACTAATTAAGCAAAGTAAAATGGTCGGGAGAAATTCAATGGAGAAAGCTCTGGGAGAAACACCAAGACTCACTACCTACCCTATCCAGATTAATTCACACATTCCAATCAATTTAATCCAATTCTCTACAGCCACACGAATGTGCTAGCTATCCCTGTCGGGAATTACTACGCACTAAACAATTAAATCAAATCCTACTATCGTAGCTGAATGAATTAATTATTTAGCCTGAAGATCGATATCCTATTTAAGACCGCATAGCACCTTATTTAATCCACTGTCGCATCATAACTTACTATGTCACATGAAATATGTTCAGTTATTAGGGTTTCACTGTCGCTAATAACCTAATTAACTACAAATCAATGTATTGGTGGCCAGTCAATAGAAAGCATTAAGTAATTTCATGCAATAGAGATTGGAAGAAAAGAATTATGAATCAATCCATCAAATATAGAAATAGCTATATCCTATGGTGTTTCCCCCAAAAATTGGGGTTTAGTTTATGACGAAATCAAAAGATATAATCATGTTCTTAATTATCATGTCATGAATCAAAGCAAAGGAAAAAAAAATACTGAAATTTTCTTCCCTGCCCTGCACTTGATCGCCCCGCGCCAGCTGCTTCTCCGCGATCCCAACTTGCGTTGCGCCGCTGCTTTTCTTCGCCCCAAAAGCAAATCCATTCAGAGAATTTTCCTTCCTTCCAATTCCTTGTCCCCGTCCCAATTAATCCCTACCTCCGGTCCTTCTTTTGCTATCACTAATTAATTGCCCCCTGGTCCAAATATCCCTCCCAATAGTTGCTCCGCCCATGTTCTCTCCTCAAGGCCCAAATCCTCCTGGCCCAAACAATTCCTCCATCCGCCCAGGCCCAAAGAGAATTCCAGCCCACAAAAGTCCAGTCCCGGTTCAACTCCTCAGTAAGTTCCGGTCCAATGTACATCCAGTCCACTTGAATTATTCTATCCACCAATGCAAATTTCTCGTTTCATTTACCTGAAATATATAAAACATTTGGCACTTGATGGTAATGGTTTTATAACTATTCCAGGCTAAGTTGGACCTCAAACAAGTATTATAGGTCTCAAACATATCATGAAATAATCACATTAAGCACGCAAAATCAATATGTTTTCAACAATTATCACAACCCCACACTCAATACTTGCTTCTCCCTATGAAACAACTCAGACAAGAGAACGATAATTGGAGAAAACACCAGACAAACCAGGGAGAGACAACCTAGCTCAAGACACACCCACGACACACAAAACACAATATTCCTTGTACTCTTGTTGTAATCAGTAGTTTCTTTCTCAAAGGACGAGTTGTGCTTTAATAATCATACCTTTCACCCCACACTCAAGGTCTTTGCAACCATTTAACATTGACTGACTCCAATCCACAAAAAAAAAAAAAACTCAAATAGCAACACTCAATTCCGATCGTCGGTAGTGGGTGATTAACAACTTATGGTGTAACAGTTATTAGGAGAATCTAACCACATCAGTGAGGTGCATATCTCGTGAGGAAAATCTGGCTTACTCACACCAATCATAATCAATTAACAAAGCATGAGTCTCAAAAACTAATGGGGGAAGCCTTTAGCAAACATGATTTTAAATTTAAGCACATCACTACCTTTTATGACAAGGTGAGTCTTTCTCTCTTTCTGATTTTGCTTGCCGAGTGGTCGTATTTAGTACAAGTGGGATCTGTTTCTTACTACCGGTGACTAAGCAAGAGCAATTTCTGCTTCTTAGCACTCGCATAAGGGCTTCTTTTAACTCCTTTTCCTCGGTCCGCGTAGAGGGTCATTGCACATCCTCTAATGGCACTTCACTCAACTGGGGATCGTACTTGATAAGCAACATCGTACGGTCGCGAACTGATTCTCAATTGAATCTTTCCTAATCCCCATGTGCAATGGTGATTGCCTCACACGATTTTGGCATTTTACCCACACTTTAATTGTTATGGCAACTTTCTTATATTTTACATGTCAGGTAGTGTTTCTTTTATGAAGATACAGTTCACCCCATCATAAAAAAATCAAAACAGAGAGACTTGTTGCAAAATCAAAAGTTCACAATTGATGCAAGTAAGCACGGTATCCAAACATGTCGAATGGTCAATGTTCTCCATCTAACTACTTCACCAAAAGTCATTACACTATCCTCACAAAAGAGAATGTTGCTAAAAGAGTTTGCTCATGTACAGCACATCAAGTCAGTCAAAACATCAAGCTCATTGTGAAGAACTATGCAATTCAACACTAGTGGGGCAATTTCGATGATTTCATTCAAGCACAAACTCATTTCACACGCATCACACTCATTTACATCATGTTACCACAAGAGTACAAGGTTTTATTTTTAATTTTTCTGATTTTTAGGTATTTTTTAGCCATTAGGTTTGCAGAGACAGAATGCTTTTGCACAGGCAAACTGCATGCAGTTTGGCTGTGCACAACCCAAATGACAGTTTTTTTTACCACATGCAATAGGGACAAACAAACACTAATACTCACCACCCCACACTCAGGATGGAACAATGTCCCTAATGTTCAACTCCTAATCTAAACATGCACGGGTTTGACACAATTAAAAAGAAAAATAAAGAAAAGAAAACTTACCTTGGGTTGCCTCCCAAGAAGCGCTTGTTTAACGTCCTCAGCCTGACGTTCATGGAGCTTTCAACCAATGGATATGGAAAGGTATCCAGAATACCCTCCCGAACAATTATAGAATGCATAACCTCCATCTAGCATATGAGTCACCTGTGCAGGGCCAGGTGTGCGAAAATTTGGTATGACCTTCTTAGCTTGCATGTTGGACCCCTTAGTGAGGCGCAGGTGGTATTGCAGTGCCTCAAACAAGTACTCTTCCTGTTTCAATGTCAGTGAAGAAGGAATAATCACAGGAAGATTGAAATCCTTACCCAAATATTTATACTTGAGATGATCTGGCAAGGATTTCTGTCCTTGCTTTGATTTCAGAATCTGAGCAGATAGGACATGTGATAGTTGTTCAGGTTGTCCACTATCACAGGAGAAGGGATTTTTCCTTTCTCGAGCTCCACTTTCAAAGTCATCAAATGCATCGTGATTATGATCAACTTGAAAGACATTAAAAATTTCCTCCTCCTTACCTACTCGAAATGTCAACCTTCCTCTCCCAACATCGATGAGTGCATCGCCAGTGGCTAGAAAAGGTCTACCAAGAATTATAGGCACTCCCTGATCTTCTTCCATCTCTAGAATAACAAAATCTGTTGGGAGAATAAACTTCCCCACATTCACCAATACATTCTCCACCACTCCTTTTGGAATTTTCACTGATCGATAAGCCAATTGGAGAGTGATCCAAGTAGGCTTAAGAAAATCTCCAATCCCAATTTCTTGTAGATTGAGTATGACATCAAATTAATTCCTGCTCCAAGATCACAAATTGATTTACCGAACTCTCTACCTCCAATGACACATAGAATGGTGAAGCTTCCTGGATCATCCCTCTTTTCTGGTAATTTATTCTGAATCACGGCACTACATTCAGAAGTAAGGGCTACCTTCTCTAGATCAGCCCATTTGCGCTTCTTTGTCAGCAACTCCCTTAAGAATTTAGCATATGTAGGCATCTGTTCAAGTGCCTCCGCCAACGGTATGTTGATATGAAGTTGCTTGAAGATATTCACAAATTTCTTGAAGTTTGGGTCTTCCATGGGCTTCATTAACCTCTGAGGGAATGGTGCAGGAGGTTCATAAGGCTTTACCTCTTCATTCTTGAGTTTTTCCACTTTTGGAGTTGCACAGGCAGAATGCTCATGCACAAGCAGATTGCATGCAATTTGCCTGTGCAAGTCAAATTTTTCAGCTTTTGCACTTTCTTCCTATGCAACTGCTTTGCCCTCATTTTCTACTGGATTTTTCTTGCTCTTTGGATCCTCCAACTCCTTCCCACTCCTGAATATGACTGCTACAACCATGGCGTCCTTCGGATTCCTCTCAGTATTTGCTGGTAAAGTCCCAGGAATCCTACCTTGAATATCTGCCAAATTTTGAGACATCTGGCCTATTTGCCTCTCCATAGCTAGCATAGATGATTGCATATTATTTTTGATGGCTAGATGTTGAGTGACAAATTGATCGAGACCCTTGAAATTATTGTCTGTTTTCTACATATGAGCCAAAATCAACTCCTCCAGATGGGGCTTCTTCTCTGGTTGAGGCTGCTGCTGTTGAAAACCAGGAGGTGGGATGTTTCGAACACCAGCTGGATTATTGTTTGACCATGACATATTGGGTTGATGTCTCCATTGAGGGTTGTACGTATTTGAATACATACCACCCTGGCCATGACTTCGCGGATTATTGATATATTGGACATCTTCCAACTGAGCAGCTCCCAGTGGACACATATCCCTATGATGAGCACCCTCACAAAGTTCACATGAAACAACCTCCTCTTGTCTACCCAGAGCAATCTTGGCCAGCCTTCGTTCGAGTGCATCGAACTTAGAATCCAGCTTGGCATCTATCTTGGCTTCTAGACTTGTAACTCTGTCAACTTCATGAAAGCCTCCTCTTATTCGAATACTGGTCTCACTACCCCATTCGGTGGCTTCTGAACAGATCTTCTCTACCAGTTCATATGCTGTTGCAGCCTCCATCCTTGTGAAACCATTTCGAGAAGCATTATTTAGGGCATCCCGAAACTCGCTTCTGATTCCATTGAAGAAAATAATGATCATGTTCCAATCTTCAAGACCATGGCTTGGGCATCTCATCAATAGCCCATTATAGCGCTCCAATGCCTCAGTCAGACTCTCATCATCAGCCTGCTTAAAAGTAACAATCTCTTCTTGCCTCTTCATTGCCAAGGCAGGTGAGAAGTATTTATCGAGAAAGACCTTTTCAAGCTGAGCCCATGTCGTGATGGAACGTGGTGTTAAGTTCTGAAACCAGTGTGATGCATTCCCTATAAGAGAGAATGAGAACATCCGAAGACGAATTGCATCATCAGACACAATTGGGCTCTTCATCGTATCACATATGCTCGCGAACCGGCGGAGATGCTCGTGTCCTCATTTCTAGCCCCAGAGAAAGTATATCCATTGGTGATCATGTTGATAAATGTTGCGGTAATCTCCATGGTTGCATCCCCAGTCGGAATGACAACACTTGAAGCTCGGGCTCCAGTCCGTCGATTCAAACGAGCACTGATCGAACGATCCTCGTCTGCCATGATGATAGGCTCAATGTCACGAGGTGGTGGTGGTGGTGTCGGTGGTGTAGGGACGACAGGTGATGAAGCCTGCCCTCTCTGGGTTAGGGAAGGCCTAGTAGTTGTGGTTGGTTGCTTCCCTAACTTGACCTGCTTCTTGTTTTGACGGCAGGTCTTCTCAATCTCCGGATCTAGTGGCTAGTAAATTGCCGGTCGTCCTCCTTGGCATGCACGAGGATGATAAACCTGAAAAATTCACCTGCACACTAACACCCAGATGAAAATAGTTCACTCACAAAAATCAACAAAAATAAGGTATGGCAGTCCTCGACAACGGCGCCAAAAACTTGATAGGGCAAAAGCGTAATGCCTAAATCCTATCTCGTAGTAAACCGGAAAGTCCGGGTATTGTTTCTCAGGGAATGGTACAACCTTAAGTTCTATCAATTTTATAGAGCAAACTATAGGTGAAAATGGTTTAATGAAACTAATTATCTAAAAGCAAAATAAACTAATTAAGCAAAGTAAAATGGTCGGGAGAAATCCAATGGAGAAAGCTTTGGGAGAAACACCGAGACTCACTACCTACCCTATCCAGATTAATTCACATATTCCAATCAATTTAATCCAATTCTCTACAGCCAGGATATCACGAATGTGCTAGCTATCCCTGTCGGGAATTACTACGTACTAAAAAATTAAATCAAATCCTACTGCCGTAGCTGAATGAATTAATTATTTAGCCTGAAGATCGATATCCTATTTAAGACCGCATAGCACATTATTTAATCCACTGTCGCTTCGATAAGTTAGTATGTCATGAAATATGTTCAGTTATTAGGGTTTCACTGTGGCTAATAACCTAATTAACTACAAATCAATGTATTGGTGGTCAGTCAACACAAAGCATTAAGTAATTTCATGCAATAGAGATTGGAAGAAAAGAATTATGAATCAATCCATCAAATATAGAAATAGCTATATCCTATGGTGTTTCCCCCAAAAATTGGGGTTTAGTTCATGACGAAATCAAAAGATATAATCATGTTCTTAATTATCATGTCACGAATCAAAGCAAAGGAAAAAAAATACTGAAATTTTCTTCCCTGCCCTGCACTCGATCGCCCCGCGCCAGCTGCTTCTCCGCGATCCCAACTTGCGCCGCGCCGCTGCTTTTCTTCGCCCAAAAAGCAAATCCCTTCAGAGAATTTTCCTTCCTTCCAATTCCTTGTCCCCATCCCAATTAATCCCTACCTCCGGTCCTTCTTTTGCTATCACTAATTAATTTCCCCTTGGTCCAAATCTCCCTCCCAATAGCTGCTCCGCCCCTGTTCTGTCCTCAAGGCCCAAATCCTCCTGGCCCAAACAATTCCTCCATCCGTCCAAGCCCAAAGAGAATTCCAGCCCACAAAAGTCCAGTCCCGGTTCAACTCCTCAGTAAGTTCCGGTCCAATGTACATCCAGTCCACTTGAATTATTCTATCCACCAATGCAAATTTCTCGTTTCATTTACCTGAAATATATAAAACATTTGGCACTTGATGGTAATGGTTTTATAACCATTCCAGACTAAGTTGGACCTCAAAAAAATATTATAGGTCTCAAACATATCATGAAATAATCACATTAAGCACGCAAAATCAATATGTTTTCGACAATTATCACCAAACCGCTGGATCGAGACTTTGTCGACTGCTTCTCATACTTTTATCGGCTCAGCATGATACCCACATTTTCTCCCTTCTCGATGCGTCTCATTGGATCCAAATCATTTACCACCAAATTTAAGGAGAGACCACAGAGTCCCTCGAGGCCCTATGAAAAATTCATTCATCAATGGAAAAGATGGGTACAACGTCGAGACCTAGTGTCCACCCCCATTTGCACCAAGTTCCCGACCTCCGAACTCTACAATCCTCACTATGCTTCTCGCCAATTCGTCCTTGTCTAGTCGTGGCCTTTGACTATGCCACATTCGCCTCAACTCGCCGATCCTACCGGTCGCAGGAACTTAAATAGTGATGAAGCACACAATTTGAAGTTATGGCAAGACGGGCTCATATCAAACGTCGAATTTAGCCCCTTCAAACATTCTGAGAATCAGACTTCAACGATCTTTTCCAAATTACTCCCAAACCGACTGGAGGCATTTGGACTCTTCAATGGTGATGCGGTCCAGATAGCACAAAGCTTACTACCAATTAAACTAACGGCTATTCCCCGGGGAAGCCAAGTGTCATCTCTCGACAAACAAGACAAAGGAAAACAGTCGTCTACATCCAAAGTAGCTGTCAAGCACCGTTTATGTAAGTGGCCTCCTAATTCATCCTTAGTCCCTTTTCCTTCTTCTTCTTTGTTTCATACGTACGTGGCCTCTTGATATCTTCTACTTGCTTTCCTTACAGCACTTAATGAAAATGAATCCCCACCAAGGCCACCAAAACGTATCCAACCCCAAGAGAGTGAACACATAAATGTCAAGCTCCATCTTATACTCCTAACGTGGTACTATTCATGCCACCTTCTCTTACTAGTCTCCATCATGTCATTTCTAGTCACAAACGGTGGAGCTGAATGAGGAATCCGAAGATGCGGGCACGGAGAACTATGAAGAAGTTGGTGACAAGGGTGGCCAACCAATTAACTTGGAAGATTTAGACTCTGATGCCGATTTCTCTAAAACATATTCTGAGGATCACGAAGTACCTACCCGCTCCAACTCTCACCTCGTCACTAGCCAAGCAACTAGCCCTCTATCCATTCCCACGATGAAGCGAACTACAACTCAAACCCCTCCTGACAAACTCGGCTTTGGGAGCTTCGTGACTAGACATCTTTTGACCTCAGAAGGCACAAGTGGTGTCACCGTGTCTGAGTTGTTCACCACCAGCTAGAATGCCTTTGCTTTAATCGCAAACCCCTTGGTCTATACCCCAACCAATGAAGAGGCTACTGACGAACTAGAGGAGACAAGGGAAAGATTGAAAGCCACGCCGCGGGAAACCATCATTCCTGCCGAGGAAGGACGCCAAGCTAGCCCCGTTGATAATCCACCTATTACTCAAACAACTAGCCCTGTTGACTTGGTAAGTATATCTATTTTTTCATCTGTCTACTCCCAATTCTAGGTCATGTCATAACGTACTTCACCCTTCTTTTTTTCTTTCTTTTTTTCTAAAGGGCATGGCCAGTCTTGATGACAACCTTGCATATCTGAAAAACTTTGAGAGTCAATTTCAGAGGGTCCTGTCCCCACAAGAAATCCTTCTCCTTCCTCCATCAAGGGTGCTTTGACGGCAGTGGGTGAATTCCTTACCCCCTCCCTTGAAGAAGCCATGGGGGCTTTAGACACAATGTGGCCTCAAGAAGCCTTCGACCTCCTTACCAAGCTCGAGCTTCACCTCTCAGTCCTAGGGATAGATATGGAGCAGATGCTACTAATGCAGAGTGCTTCCTCGGAGATCAAGTCGTGGTTTGCCGCCATTGAGAGTGCTCGCGAGCTTTGGGACAAGTTGGCACGTGAAGAAGAGACTAAAGTCACCACCCGCTCCTCTCTTCAAGAGGAGTTGGCCAAAGGAAGATCTACATCAAGCGAGGTGGCTTCATTTCAAGCTAAGGAAGCTACCCGCAAGGCACGCATTGATGAACTGAAGGCAGAGCTCCAACATCTTGAAGAAGAAGAAACTTAAGAGAGGTCTCGAAAAGAAAAATTGGCACGATATCTTCATGAGTCAGCAACCAAGATCCGTGCTCTTTGTGAGAAAGAAGAATCTCTCATGCATATAAATGAAATTTCCCTTCAACGAGCCAAGGCTATCCAGATTGATCGCGAGAACAAGTCCAAATCCACCAAGTTGAAGGCTACCTTCGATGAGATCCTCAAGACCCTTGATGCTTGAAGCATCTTTGTTTTGTTTTGATCATACTTTTGAACAGTCAGTTTAGCCATTATTGTGGCTTTTGATTTTGTCTTTAATTTTTTTGGATTTCATGGATTGATTCTCGTATGGCCGTTGTTGAAATTTTTTTTTTACGCCCGCGTTCTTTTCACGTCCTAGGCTAGCCATGTGGTTCAAAGTATATGATGGCTCCCATACCTAGCCAAACTCTGGCTCTCGATGGACAAGCCAACACGTCTAGATGGAACTCTTCGTCAAAGTTTAGCCCACTCCTTAGCCAAAATTTGGTCTTCGCGTCAAACCAACATGGCAAGATGGGACTTGACATCAAAGCTTGTCTTATGCCTTAGCATCGAGGCTTGTTCCATGCCTTAGCCAAATTTTGGCTCTCAATGATCAAGCCTGCATGACCTTCCTCCTCATTACACGCCTACTAGATCTTCAAAATAAATTAGGAGGCAAACCTACTTAACTCCATTAATCTTCCCAATTTCAACGACGCTTTGGCATGTAATTCGATCACTTTACTCAGGAAAAAATGACCTCTCATCCCAATTTCGGCTCAATGTGATAGTGGCCTTTTAATGGTTCTTCGTTGTTGCCCCCTCCCCATCCAACGTCTGCGGCAGGGAGCAAGCCACTCCTCCCTTCCTAGCTCGGCTACTAAACCAACTCAAAGGGAGACATCATGCTAACCAAGGCCACTTACTATTTTGCCTTCTTCCTCCATCCTGTTAGTTAATTGCTCAATTAAAGTGAAATCGAGTTTCCTCCCCACACCTAGCCTTGTGGCCAGATGCTTAACCAAAATATTGACTTTAATTTCAACTCAAGATGATCATCCAATTATGCGGCTGCATGAGCTATCTCGCCACTTCACGTCCTTCTTTGCCTCTGAATCGGCTCCATGGCCATGCAACAGACTTAGAACTTTTCTACTCACACGAGCTTTTGTTTTATTCTTATTTTAAAACTAACCCTTTATTCCCATTGCTTTTCTACTACAACACATCCCCGATCAATATATATATTAGAGCACTGATTACTTGGGACGAGACGCCATGAAAACAACTTAGTAAAATTAAGCTTGTTGGCACCCCGCATCCCAGAGTGAAGGGATGTAGGACTTAAGATACTTGCCATTAATAACTCGATCGTGTAATACCCCATCGATGTCTTTCAATAGATAAGCTCCATTAGGAGGAGTGGCATGGACAATGAAAGGGCCACGACAATTTAGAGACCACTTGCAAACTTGGGATCCTTGTCCCCAATGGGCAAATGTAGCTTCCACACTAGCTACCCTTCTTCGAATGACTTGTGCTTAACCCTCTTGTTGTAAGCTCGTGCAACTTTTGTCTTTTTGAACTCTAATGTTATCAAGAGCTTTTAGTTTCACCTCATCAAGATCACACAACTCTAGCATCATAGACTCATAATACTCTGAGGGAGTGAGCTCATGTTGACGCATGTATCTCAACGACTTGACAGTCACCTCGACGGGCAAGAAAGCTTCATGTCCGTATTTCAAGGCAAAGGGAGTCACCTTCATGCTACTATGAGGGGACATGCGATAAGCCCACAAAGCTTTGGACAAATGCTCATGCCACTTCCTCGGATTGTCTTCTATCATTTTAGACAAGATTCCCTTCACCACTTTGTTCGATGCTTCAGCTTGACCATTAGCCTGAGCATAATATGGGGTGGAATGTATGATTTTGATTGCATGCTCCTTGGAAAAATCCATCACCTCCCCTCCCATAAACACGGTGCCTTGATCAGCTGTTATGGTGGCAGAAAATCCAAACCGATGGATTATGTTCTCTTTTATGAACTTAATTACTTCACCTTGATTCATCACCGTCATCGGCTTAGCTTCTACCCACTTCGTGAAGTATTCAGTTGCCAAGATAATAAAGGTGTGTTTATCTAAAGAAGCTGGGTAGATCTTCCCTTTCACAAGCTTCACACCCCTTGGCAAAAGCAGCGCAGTCCTCTCCAATGGATGGCCAGTAATAGCCATATCTATGAAGTACCCATATCATGGAGGGTCCAGCTTGATGAGCACCACATATGCCTTCGTGAACTTCTCCCATAGCTTTCAAGGCCTCTTTGCCCCCCAAACACTTCAATAACAAACCATATGGTCTTTTCTTGAACAAGACTTCATCTAATAGCACGTAGTTCCTAGCTTTGAACTTGATGGCTCTGTCGACATCCCCATTGGGATTTTTCAAGTAAGCCACCAAAGGAGTACGCCAATCTTCGGGTTCTTCTCCATCTATTTGGAACACTTCTACTCCTTGCTTCAAACGCTCCCTCAATGGACTAAGTGTTTGTACAAAGATCTGCTCTCCTCCCTCATGGTAGAACTCCCTAAAACCCAAAGCCAATTGTTCTAAGTAGTTTTCCTTGTCATTGTCTTGTCGAGGCACAAACTTGACAGATACGTTGTCAAAGTGAGTTATCAAGACTTTGACATACTCGAGGTATGTCTCTAAAACGAAATTGACACAACGAAAATCACCAAGTACTTGGTGGACCACGATTTGTGAATCCCCTTTGATATCAACACTCTTAGCTTTTAAATATACAAGCATCTCCATCCCAACCACCAATGCCTCGTACTCGGCCTAGTTGTTATTACATGGAAAATCGAGAGTAAAAGCAAAAGACATGGTATGCCCGGATGGGGCAATGAGCACCACGCCAGCATCTGCTCCTGAACGTGTCTTCAAGGCATTGTAGTATAGAGTCCAAGGGGCTTCACCCACCATCCCTATCTCTACTAACTCGGGTGGCACGTCCACACATGGGTGATCGGCCAAGAAATCAGCTAAGGCTTGGCCTTTAATGGCCTTTTGTGGTACGTACTGTAAATTGAACTCAGAGAGAGAAAGTGTCCACTTACCAATCCTCCCATGGATGATTGGCCGAGACAACATGTATTTAATCAAATCGGTCTTACAAATGAGTTGTACTTGAACATGCATCAAATAGTACCTTAGCTTCATACATGAAAAATATAAAGCCAAACATAACTTTTCTATGGAAGAATATTTTTGCTCGGCCGTGTTTAAGAATCTACTTAGATAGTACACGGCCTGCTCATGACCTGCATCATTATCTTGGGCCAATAGACACACAATAGATGTGGTAGTGGCTGAAAGGTACAACTTCAAAGGCCGACGTGGAATGGGAGAGTTGAGCACCGGCGTGCTCGCCAAGTACCTCTTGATGTCATCAAAAGCTTGTTGATGCTCTTGACGCCATAAAGATTCCTCCTCCTTCTTCAACTTCAGCACGGGGAGAATACTTGAGTCCGACCCGCACAATTCGAGATGAAGCGTCGAATGTAGTTAACCTGGCCAAGGAACCCTTGTAGCTCCTTCTTGTCACGTGGTGGCATGGCCTCTATGATGGACTTGGTCTTGCTTTTGTCAACCTCAATGCCACGTTTGCTCACAAGGAACCCTAACAAGTCACCTGCGGACACACCAAATGCACGCTTAAGTGGATTTAGTTTCAATTGATGGCTTCTCATACGTAAGAAAGCCATGCGTAAATGAGAGAGGTGTTGTCTTGCTACCTTGGACTTGACAACGATGTCATCCACATACACCTCCACCAACTCACCAATCAAGTCATGAAAGATAGTATTCATAGCTCGTTGGTAAGTGGCACCCGCATTTCTCAACCCAAAAGGCATGACCACACATTCCAAGCAATTGCTCCTGGACACTAAAACGCGGTCTTGTGGATGTCTTCCTCAGACAAGTAAATTTGATTATAGCCTGAGTAACAATCCATGAAAGAAAAAGTTCATGCCTAGTCACTGCATCGAGCAACATGTCAGCAACTGGCATGGGGTATTCATCCTTAGGAGAGGCTAGATTCAAATTCCTAAAGTCTACACATACTCTTATCTTGCCATTCTTCTTTCTAACTGGCACTGCATTAGACAACCACTTCACATATGATAGACCGTCATTTACACATGTTTTTACCCCCATTCTTACACCGTTTGAGGTGTTGATTCTCGTGTTTTAGGCCTATTTCACGCTAGGTTGTGCTTGTTTGTGATGTTTCAGGTCCTAGTACGTGAATGAAGGCTTAGGAGCGAGTCTGGGGTCGATTGGACGAAGAACGGACGAATGGCGAGGTTTTTGGGGAGCTGCACGGGCAGACCAGGGAGGCTGCACGGCCGTGCACGTGAGCAATATGGCCGTGCGCCTTATGCCGAGGACACGCAGGGGCAACCCCTTAAGCTCGCACGGCCGTGCACCCTGGCCGTGCGAGAGGGCTGAAGTTCGACTAAATGACACGCTGCGTTTTGAGCTGCACGGCCAGAATGGTGATATGCACGGCCGTGCACCCTGGCCGTGCGAGTCGGGAAATCTGGTTTTAGAGCCTATTCCGAGCAAAAAGGAGGGGAATCGGACTTTTTGAGCACAAACAGAGTTTTAGAGAGAGAAAGTGCGAAGAACTCACCCTAGAAGCCATCTTGGAGCTGGGTTTCATCAAATCAAGCTTGGAGATCGTCCTAGGAGTGGAAATCATCATCCCGGAGCAGATTATCCTCATCATTATGAGTATGACTACTCCGATTACTGTTTTCTTTTCTCTCTCTATGGAGTAGAACCTCTCTCTCACTTGGGGATGAAGAACCCTAGTTCTATGTGTTAGGGGATTGATTGTAATGACTTGGGATGATATTACTGTTTGATTTTAATCGAATGATGCATGTTTATTGAGTCAATTGAAGTCTGATCAACTTTTCCTGATTCCTGCTGCAATCTGAGATAGATAGAATCTGATTAGGTTGCTAGAGTCTCATCATTCGATAGTAGGAGACTGGTTATACGAGAGTTAGCCAGTTTACTGCTTTGTACTGGAATCTAATTCCAGTAGTGAATTTCTGTTCTTACTGCTTCAGCTTTCTATCCCGGTGAAGACTAGTCGTCTGCCGGGTAGTTAGACTGAGAGGGCTTGGTCAGCTTAAGAGATTCCAAGCTACTGTCGGATCTTCCGCAGTTTAATCAACAGTAGATCAACCCAGGGTAAATTGCAATTGAAACCTAACTAAAGAGCTAGGGGGATTCATTCCCGAGTGACTCTTTCCTGCTTAAGAAAACCGACCAATTTCCTGCTTTATTTCTGCTTTTAGTTTAAACAACAATCACTTACTTTAGTTGGCTAGATAACAGAGAATCACTGAGTAAGCAGTAGATCTAGAGCCCGGGTTGATAATATAACTTGCCTGTTACTGCATTCCCGGTCTGCGATTACACTTGGTCACAGATTGGTGTTGTGTTTTGGCGTGTCAAGTTTTTGGCGCCGTTGCCGGGGAGCCTCTAGGTTATTGGGGAAACGTGAGAATTTGTTACTCTAGCTTTTTATTTACTGCATTTTATCTCTTCCACCTGTGTGCCTTCACGGGTTGTTTCTGCTGATTGTGTGCAGGTAGTGCATGACCCGTAGCCAGTCGGGAGATCTACTACCACCAGACCAAGAGCTTGAACGAACCTGTAGAAACTTCAAGCGGGCTCTAAAGGCGCGACTGGCTGCGGAGGAGGCGCTATCACAGCTGCAGTTAGAGGAGGAAGAAGAAGAGATGGCTGAACCAGGGAACCATGATATGATCCCTGAGGAGCAAACCATGGGATCCTACTGGACCGCCAGAGCTGCGGACATGAGGTCACCCATTCAGCATCCTCATGTCCCAGCCAACAATTTTGAGGTGAGCACCTCAGTAATCACCATGTTGC